TTTTAGCTACATATACTTGGGGGAGGGGGAAGGACAATGGGCTGGTAGGTCCGTAGGATCCCAGAATAAAAGGCTTTGTCCTGAGGGAAAATCCAACTGTTCTTAGCCGTTGTGGGCAGCTGCATGTGCGTTGCAGATGGTGCAAGTGTGTTTAAATGGGGATTTTGCGTGGCTTCCCCAAAGAAGCGTTTTTGTGGGGGCTGGGTGTTGTAAAATGCTAAAATTGAACTTTGACACCTCCCTAGATTCAGGAGTGGGTTGCAAGAAGATATGGAAGGATCATAAACAAACTTTCATAATGAATTCTCCTTTAAAAGAGCGAAAAACATGGGAATCCATAGCTTTTTCCTTGCAGGTTAATAAAGTTTCAGCTTGCATGGGACTGCTTGGGGCCTCCCTCTGCCCCACACTGCGGGGCTGGGGGTGGGGGCAGCGGGTCAGGACTGGCCATCGATGTTTGCAAATGGGTCCTGGTACAAAAAAGCTTGGAAACCACCTGTCTAGAGATCCATGATTGACCACATTGTCTGTACTGCTTCCAAAAAGTTAAAAGCACAGCTTAATTGCAAGAATGAACTAGATGCACTGGATGACACCTGCATTTTTTTCCTGACTGTCTTTTATTGTAGAGAGAACTTCAGCTGGGACACTTCAGTGTTCAAAGCATGGGATAATCTTTCACTTGGGTTTAACAGGGAGGTGGAATAGCTCCGTGTTTCTTCTGGCTCTCTCCCCCCATTGGTTTTGTGTTGGATTTCACAGCAGCACCGGGAATTTGGAAACCCTGCAGCTTGCTTTCCAAATAGAGAAGTGTGTGCAGGCTCCATGCATATGACTGACAAAAGACTGAAAGGGCAAGTGTGGGGATGTTTGGGGGCACAGGAGCTCTGCTCTAAGCTGCTCTGCCCCTTCAGTAGCAAGGTAAGCAGAGCTTACACCTGTTCTAGTAATGGGGAGCACTCCTATTAGACAGATGCAAGTCATTATGTGTGATCATGGCAGGAACACCTGGTAGTACTTAACTTTTGTGTAAAGAGTGCTGTCTCGAGGAGTTGGCCACTTTAAAGGACGGTAGGTTTGAAGCCAGCTGTAAACCTAGATCCAGTGGAGCAAAAGGCAACACAAAAAATTCTGCCTCTTCTAAGGAGTTGTGGCACAGGTTGGCTAATAGCTACAACTCGGGGATTTATTGCCAATGCTGCACAGTGGATTTGAGCTGTTCTTGAATGACTTGCCATCCTCCACTCACCCCCAAACACTCAACTTAAATACCTGGGCGCTACTGTAGCTGAAGAGGCTATGGTAGCGCCCCAGTGAATGCATATTAAATCTACAGCAGAGCGGGTTGATGTTACCCTTTGCTTGTTAGGATTGTTGCTTCAAATCCTAATTTGACTGTAATCAAGGCAAACAAAGTCATGGCTGTAATCTGTTAATGAAGATTGTCTGTGCTACTGTGAGCAATTACTCAGTCATTTATAAAATGTTAATGAAGTGGGAAGGGTAATGATTAAAAGGTAATTCATCATGGGTTTATGGGAGAGAAGAGAAAATAAAGCCAACAGATTGGCCTGGCAACAAATACGATACTATTTTAATTTGGAATTGTATATTCCACGTTATGTGGCATAATTGATACTATTTCAAGGCTAGATGACTTAAGTGCCTGGGTCCTTTTAAATACTATGTTAGTGTTTATACAAAAAAAAATTAAATGCAAATTGAGGTGTGGAAGTTTATGGCTAGAAACACTGGGCCAGCAGCTTCGTAACAGAGAGAAGTCAGTGGGTTTAAATCCCTTTCCATTTTGAGTTGCAGGATTACTATGAAGGGTTGTGTTATAAGGAGCTAAATGAGACGGGGGCGGCGGGGGGATAATGTGGGTCAGAGCAGTGAAGCTAGGCCTGAATACCTAGGTTTTATTTTTGGCTGTACCAATGTTCATTATCTCAGGCAAGTCCTGTATCACCTCTGTATCCATGCCCCCCCCCCCCCCCCCCCACCCCATTTTGCCTGTTGTGTTTAGGATCACAAAGGGATCATAATACACCTGGGACTATGTTGGTGCAATAGGAGGAAGTATGGGAAGAAAATATTTATCTCTTATGGAGGTTGGGTTGGTTGGGGTGGTAAAGGGACGTGGAGCAGGTGTTGGGTGGTGTAGGGTGGGTGACTCGAATTTTAGGGGAAGCTTGTTCTATTAACACCATCTTTCTTTTAACATTTTACCATTTTAAGTTATTTTTTTATCTTCTACTGAGATCAGTGCTGGTAACTGGGTAACAAGGTGCTTGCGAGTCCACTAGAAGCAGTGAATCCAATTAGAACATGCTTATTTTAAGTGGAATAATCCTGGATCTGTTCCTCTCAAGAGGAGAGGCTGAACTAACAGTTTTAAGGTAGTTTCACTATGGCTAGCAACAGAAATTACACACACACTGGTATAAGTGATTTGGAAACCGGTTCAAATGTATAATGCAACAGAAATTCACTGCACATCAACCACTTTCAAAATGGCCTGAACTGGTTTAAGATAAACCTGGATGGATGTGGTATCAGACTTAACTGATTTAGGGTAAATCAGTTTATTGAACTTCTGTCCCAGAGCCGCTCCAGATTCATGTTAACTCGCAGTCCCCCAGCATCCCAGGATGCGTTGCGCTCCCCCTCCCATGGGTGAGCAGACTAGCCTTGGCCTAAGCTGTCTGCTTCTGTGGAGCAGGGAGGTGTGCTCCAGCACCCCCCCCCCCCCCCCCCCTC